TCCACCAATCCTTAAATAAATTTCCCTACACATTCAAAATTTTAATTTTATATGTTTTTTTAAGAGCTTTTATCTTAAATAAATTGAAAATTATCAAAATTACGCATTTTGATACATTGCTACTTTATCGAAATTAACGATGCATGATGGCTTCCTGAAATTTTTTTTAAAAAATTCTTTTTTTACATGAGGCATGATTATAACTTCTTTACTGACAATTATTGCATTAAGTTTTCAATTCTCAAACAATTTACTTTATTTAACATATTTGTCACGAAATCACTGAATAAATCATTTCAATTTCATATCAAACATTCTCTCTAATTAATTCTTAATCATCTATCTCATTAAAATTAAATCCTGCCAATATTTGTTATGATATAATTTTACATGATGAGATGATGCAGGTGAGAGGATTTTTCTCAGACAAATATATATGCGGCATGGAAAACGAGAGAGAGAGAGAGAGAGAGAGAGAGAGAGAGAGAGAGTAGATGACTAACTACTTCCTTCCTTTTTCTTAGATGAATCGTTGCAAAAAAAATTCCACAAATTTCTCAATGAGATCATTTTTGTAGAGGACACATTTCAGTGATAGTGAATACAATAATCTCATTTATTCTCTTTTTTCTTTTATAATATAAAATCCATGAAGTATTAGAAAGCCTTGTTAAAATGCATATTTGATACTTTTCTCGCAGTTAATTTTAAAAAGAAATTTTATTATTTATAAATGGTATTTCAAGACTTTTTTCCAGAACATATCATATTAAAAGCTATTGCTATATTATCAAGCAAAATGTTAGAGGAATATTTTTGCAGACAATACTTTAGTTAATTGACTAACTTTAAAGTTTTCCTTTTTTTAGAAACATATATTTGCATATTCATAGGACCCTAAAATCAATCGCCAATGTTGTTTATTTTCAAACATTATAAATGGTAGCAGATATGTAATTTTTCTTAATTCATTAAAAGATTAAAATGGATAGAAAGTTGTTTATTTGAAAGATTAGTTATAATTTTGAAGCACGTCGATGATATCAATACAAAAATCAGGCTGTTTTTTTACAAAAATATTCCGTAGCAGATGCTCTCTGTCTGCTGCCCAGAGTACAAGTCTAATCATCATGTAATTAGCGTGAAAAAATCGTGAGCACATCCTGTTCCCTTTGCCAGCGGAAATCTTCTTCACGGTATCATTAATCATCATCATCATCGTCATCGTCATCATCATCGTCATCATCAGAAACAACAAAACCTTTATTCCAATAATTTTCCATTTTTTCCTTCATTTTTGTTGACTTTAAACTTATTGAGATCAGTCCATTCATTTACTTTTAATTTTTTCATCAATTAATTCTTCTCTGCACCTTTGTTGCCAAAATATATTAAAATTGTAATAATGAATATTCACCATATAACTAAATGTATCATAAATACATACGTAAATATTCATGTTCGCATAAATATATTCAATGCCTCTTCCAGTCATATTCATGTTTTCACCTCTCTCTCGCCCTCTCTGTCTTTCCTTATATTATATATATTTATATTTGTTTTTTAATTTTTTCACATATAATAAATCTGTCTTATAGAATTATATTTCAATATCCGTATTTTTTTTTTGAATCTCATACACCCTTTTTTTTAGAAAAGTCAAAATTTAAATTATTTGTATTACTGTAATTTGAAATATTCTAGGACTAATTTTTACAAAAAATTTATTTGACATCATCCTTACTTATTATGCATGAAATAAGCAAACTGAAAAATTGTCAATTTTTTCCGAAATGTTATCTCAAAATTAAAACAGAAGTGTATAAGAAATGCACATAATGAATCACCAATGCTAAAAAAATCTCTATAATAAAACAAACTGTTGCAAAAGCTCTCTGTTTTCTATGCAAAATGAAAATATATTATGGTAAAATTATTCTTCTCACTAAAAAAATTGTTAGTGACAAAGTTTCTGTTTTTAAATTTATCAAAATTCATTGGAACAATATTGATTTGATTCACTTCCATAAATTTCCCATTCAGTTTCTCAGGAAATTTTTAAACTTTGCTTATGAACTTATGAACGATTATCGGCTAATTCACTTATTCACTACAAATTTTTAAATTTGCATTCATTGAAATGAATATTATTTATTGTATGATTGTAAATGTCGTCATTTTCAAGTTGAAAAAAATAACTGACATTAAAGTGATCATTTTAATGAGCAAAATTTTTTGATACTTCAAAGTTTAAAATAACAAATTATTATAATACGGGAAAATTTCTCTAATTTTGCACTTCATGTTTACTTCTAAATATGATAGCAAACTGGTAATGTTCTTACAACATATTCAATGCTCGCTATAAACTGTACAGAATAAACTTGTTTTCAAAAAATTTCACTTGTCTTCTTCACAAATACAAAAAAAAAAAACTGTTGGTATTTGAGAAGAACTAATTTGTCTTGTTTTAAATATGAGCTGAAGAAGTGGAGAAGCAGCGAATTTTTGCTTTCATTGATTTTTCGACTAAGAAAGAAAAAAATTTTCTGGCTGCATTGAAGAATTATTTTCCCTAAAATTTCTGTTTAACTGATAGATTTTGATAAGATTTTTGCATTTAAATATTTTGCCACATTAATGTGTGATATTCTATCAGAGAATTTCATGCTCTTTAAATACTTTTTTTTCATTTTTTCTTCCGTCTGTACTTTTATATACAGGTAGGTAAATTTCAAAGAAAATTGGAATAAATAAATAGATCGGCATTATGTACGCGATCATCAAACTTTCTTAATGTTGCTTAAATCCATTTTATTTAAACTTATTTAAAATTTCAAATGAGAATCCGATGTAATTTTTATTAATAAGTGTTTTTTTGCCATATTCTATAAATTGTCGAACTTGAGAGAAATACAAGTGTTTGATTTAAATACTCTTAAGTCTTCTTGAAATATTGCAATAGTTTGAAAACTCAACGAGATTTGGAATATTGTGGAAGTTTGCAAATTTTAAATATCTATTTGTTAGATGTTGTAGGTTAGTAATTAGTGCAGAATAGAAATTTTGAAATTTTAAGGTGCAAAATTTTCAATTTCACATTTCAACTCCATATCTTTTTTTTTAATACCGAAAAGATAAGTATAAAATATCGAATAAAGTAATCTCGCAACAACTAATATTGCTACTGAAAAGAAACAATACGTTCCAGAATTTGTGTGAACAAAGACAGTGTGTAGGAATCCAAAATATTTGAATTGATTTTTGAATTCAAAATTACTAAAATTAAACACTGATATAAGTTGAATAATAGCAGACATTGTTACCGTAATTTTTGTCTGTTCCTGACTGTCGGGATACTGTTCAAGAGAATAGAATGTCTTCTATCTCTAACTTTAATGTGCTATTCATATTGAAATGTGTGCCATACTGTTCCAGTGAATCGTTTTCTTCCATCAACAAATTTCATGGCTTCTCATACCACAAAAAAAAAGAAATGCCATGCTAATTGATTATCTCTTTCCCTTCTTTCTACAGAAAACAGTGAATTCTAATTTTCAATTTATAATAAAATGTTTCGTTTTTTTTCCGGGAGAGGAAAGATTTTTTAAAAATATAATTTCTACTAATTATTAATGTGACCTACGGCATTTCAAGTTATTCTTTTCCAATTTGTCTATCATTCCAGATAGTTTCCTTCTTAAAATCCATTATAAGTGTTATTTCAATTTAAAATTGAAATTTTATTTTTATCACTGTTTTCTAGAGAGGAAAGCGATAAAAATAAATTTTTCAAATTTCATTTGACATAAGAGACTAAATGTTGCGAAAAAGATTAGGCTTTAATAAATAATAATTTTATTTCTTATTTTTGCCAGCATAAATAAGCATCGCATTAAATTATCAAGCTGATAAGTGATATGTTATCTGATAAAGGAATATTTGGAGCATTTCTAGGTTTTCCATTCATTGGTAAAAACAGTGAAATTTTTCGGTAAATATTTAGATGCAAATCCAAAAAAATACAAAAAAGTGTCAAAGGAAGATTTTATGTAAAATATAATTGATTCTGATTTATCATGTAATGCGTATCTGTCAGTTGCAAAAAATTATGAAATTTACTCGTTTTAATGAATAGAAGAAATTGATGGCGTAATTGTACAAATAATTCTTCTATTTTAATTATTTTCAGTTTGTTTGGAATTGGTAAGAGAAGTTGACCATGAAAAGAAGAAAAAAATATCAGTTAAAGAAGAAGTATGAAGATTCTTAGCATCAAACGTTAATACGCTCAATTTTAGTCAAATTTTTGATGTAATGTCTTAAAATTTAAATTATATTTCAGACGCTGACGTGTGCTATTTTAGACGTTAACGGAGAAATAGAAAAAAGGTCGAATTGGAAGGAAGAAAGAGAGGAAAAAAGGGAAAAGAAAAGAACGTTTTTGAAAAAAAGCAAAGAAAAAAACTACTATAAAAAAAGAACAAAAAAAATTGAGAGTTCTTGTTAAAAAGAAAAGAAAAGGAAGAATAATAGAGTTTATCTGGAAGATTTCTGTAGAAGAAGGAAGCACAATTGTCGAATTTATTCTGTTTCCTGTATGCATGCATTATCAGTGCAGCTGATATATTGGAATTTCAAGAATTGATAGTAAGATTATCAGAGAGATATATCGGATCTTTTTATTTCTTTGAAATTGTTGAAGAAACATCTGTAACAGATGCATTATTTGGTGCATTGAATAGAAGCATCTGAAGAAGAAGAAGAAGGAAGAAGCAAAAAAAGTTTATTCAAATCTTGTTGAGCATTAAAAGAAACGATCTTTAAAATTGAAAGCTTTTGATTAGCAAGCTTTTGATAGCTCGTATGCTATCACCATCATCACCATTATCATAATTAATAATAGTAGGAGTATCACAGCATTCGAAAAAGATAATAAGAGAGGCTCAAATGCAGTTCACAGTAGCTGTTCTGCTCCTCTTCTACTATTGTGACCTAAAATGAACGAATTTTTGGAATTTAACAAACCAGAAATTTTAGTTGAAAAGCGCACAAAAGTGCATAACCAACTAATTACTACTCCTCCTTCTACAACATTCATTGTTACTACAACTATTAGAACTAATTTTACAATTAATGCAAAAATTCTCACCACAACAACTACGATTGAAAAAGCAGAAGAAAAACGCACCTATCGTACAGTACAACAACAAATTGTACCATTGAAGATATTAGAATCAGTACTGTTTCCACTAATTCTTATCTTCTACAGTTCGATAATATCACTCTCAACAGCTACAATAAATCTTCCACCAACTGGTACAAGTCGTTTTGCTGAACAAGAAATTCAACTTTTAAGAGAAGCATTCTTGAGAAAGTTAGTTTTTTTTTTAAATTTTCAATTTTTTTTTGATTAAAAAATTATTATGGAAAATATAATTTTAAAATGTAATGGAAATATTTCTTACTTATAAAGTTAACATTGTAATTTAAGTTTAAATGACATGATAATTTTTTTAAAAGAAATTTTAGCAGGATTATCTTTTCATTTTATCTTTATTTCATCAATTTATTTCTACTGCTAGTAAGAAATTTTTTCAATATCTCATTTTTATCATTCAGGTTTGGAATGAAAGAGCAACCAAAACAAGCTAAGCCAGCATTACCTATCCCATATTATGTGTGGAATATTTATAAAAAGGTGAAAAAAGAAGATATTGCCTGGGTTCGACATTACTATCCACATAGTATTATGGAGTCAGATAATAGGTATCATTGCAATCATACTCTTTAAGTGTAATTACTTATTGCTAGAGTAAATAAGCATTTAATAGTTATAATTTACTACAATATTAGATAAAAATATTTTTTAGCACCCTACTACTTCAGTATGATCTATCGGTTACTGTACAAAATGTTACCAGTGAGACAGTTACTCGAGCTGATTTGAAACTAAAATTGAGAAATGAAAAAAATCGAAGACATATGAAAATTTATGAAATTGATCAGAGAAATTCCGAAATATGGAGGTAAGCATTTGCAAAAGTTTAACCATTCAAAAATAATAATTTTTTGATCGATATTTCATAATAATAATTTTTTTGCATTTATTTCAAAATGATGATGGATTTGATGAAAATTTTATTATTTCCCAATTCATATCCTCATTTTTATAAATCTAGATGTAAATTAAAATTCTTCCATTTTATTATTTAAGATTTACAAAAAAATGGAAATCGTGGTTCGTTGAACTATGTGGTCAATGATTTGACTAATTTCTGATATGTTTTTGATTTTGATATAATATTACAGGTTAATCGATGCTAAATTTATTGTGGATGATTTACGGGGTGATTATCAGTGGGTTGAAATGGATGTCACGGAAGCGATACGAAGGAGACGACCAAATATGAATAGGGTATGCATGCTACATTTACAGCATTTTTTTCTAAACACATATTCAGTACTTCATCCAATTGATAAAAACTGCAATTTGGTAAATTAAAGTTAACGAAAGTAATTGCAACAACAGCCGTACATACTTTCACGCATTTGTTTAAGGCTTGATAAATGTTGTTTTGATGACAAATTTACAATATTTAGATTGATTTCGCAGTGAAGTTGTCGAGTATTCATCTGAAAACATCCGCGAGCACATCATATCAACAGTTGACAGCACATCCCCTCTTATCGTATAATAGGAAACAGGCCTCTGCTTTGGTTGTTTATGTTCGAACTGATGACACTGCTAAGGTTTGGAATATTTGCATTTCTCATTGTAGCAAATTCGATTATCTTTCAGTAAGTCATGAACTTTCCATGTAATATAGTAAGTAAAGTGGAAATATTTCGGTAAAATTCTACTATCATACTTATAAATTTGTTGTGTTAATTTCCATCTTTAACAGTGATTTTTTAATCTTTAACATATCTTCAACAAATTTTAAAATATTTTTAGCAGTAATTTTTTATAATTGCATAAATATTTTGATATTTTTAATATGAAATTAATCTTTTGTATGAAATTAATATTTTTACAAAGATTTTTTTCTATTTTAGGTACGAAAAAAACGAAAAGCAAATACACGACGACGACATCAACATAAAAAACACGATCATAGATTAACTGATAAGAATTATTGTCGTCGTACACAACTTTTAGTTGATTTTAATGAATTAAATTGGCAAGATTGGATTTTAGCTCCATGTAAGCATTTGAATATCTGTGTCGTTATCATTTTCAATTAGCATAAAATTTAAAATAGTTTCTAAGGTTTTCCATTTTATGATGCTCTCAATAATATACTTTATGTAATTTAAATAAAGCTAAAATTTCAAATAAACCTGTAAGGATATTAATAATGAAGATTGAAATTGCAGCAAGCTATAACGCTTATCAGTGTCAGGGTGAATGTCCGAATCCATTGACCAGTCACTTCAACACGACGAATCATGCCATAGTGCAAGGCCTTATCAATTCGGTGGATCCAAGTTTAGTGCCAGCTCCATGTTGTGTTCCAACTGAAATGGAATCCCTCGCAATCCTTTATATCGATGTTGAAGGTAAAATTGTCATCAAGAACTATCCCGACATGGAGGTGCTCAGTTGTGGATGTCGCTAGAACATTTTACGCCTAATCATCTCTATTACATTCATCATTCATTCCTTTCTGATAATTTCTCTGGTAAGTGCTAATCAGTTAATACTTATCATCCATCATCTGAATCAGAGAGCAGACTTTATTGTATTATTGCTCACTTTATAGAGTAATCAAGGAATGAAATTGAATTAGAAATATTCGAGAAAAAAAGCTCAATTATATCCGTTTCAACTGATTGACCTTTTACTTTTAGTTTTAACTAGACATAAAATCAAGATTAGTATCTGCTTTAACTTTGAATATCATTTAAAGTACAAAGTGAAGAATGATTATAAATTTGTCATCATTTTTCAATGGATTTTCAATTATTTTTTAACTTTTTAATTTACAGATAACAAAGTGTCAGCTGCTGGTTTGATGTGATACTATACTCCATGGCAATAATTATTCCAGCCAAGTGCGTTTAGCTTTTTTTTCTATTTGGTTCGTTTCGGAGCGGAATTCGGGTCCCCGCTTTCACTACATTTATTTGCTTTCCAGCAGCTGCAGTTACTTTTTTCCTTCCTTTTTTTGCATTCATTCATTAATTTACATAATTCTAAATTAGTTATTGATAGTAACAGATGAAATTTTTATTTGATTTCAAATTTTATAAAGCATTAATGAAGGAGTTTATTACTTCCAATTTAATCACTTCAATTTTTGGATTTCAGTTTTTAGATTGCAAAATCTGAAGAGATTTGGGATAAAATTAATTTTAGAATTCAAAGTAATTTGACTAAAATTTCGTGGATGATTTGAAAAGTGGTAAAAAATGGATATCACATATTAGACTCTAGTGATAAAATTTTAGCTTATTTTTTTTACTGCAAATTATCTTTCATGAAAGTTGACGAGGTGAGAAAAATGATTTCAAAAGTTTTGAAAAACAAAGTTGAGAAATTTTTTGATCAACTTTTCTGAAAATAACTAACTTTACAGAGCATTAAGACAGGTTGTGAAGAGTTTTAACTA